GAGGGTTATTATCCCTTTGTCCCTCCTTGCAAACCACTTCCTGAACACGGTGAAGAGCAAGACAGGCTAACCGCAGCACACTTTGCGGCACTGTGTCCTTCAAACGGCTTACCATGCCTTGTAATTATTTTATCTACTTGTCTGCTCGTTCACCTTGCCTCCTCCCTGACCTGTGACGCCATCAGGGCAGAAACCATGGTGGCCTTACTCAAGACTGAGCCTGGTGCCTGACACAGAGTAGGCACCAAGTGAACAGAGGATCGAATTTCCCCAAGTCCTGGCCACGCACTAACACCCAGAAATACTGGACTTCACGGATCTGTCGGTGAAAAATTGTCCTCCGGCTTCATAGAGTCGTCCATAAGGAGGCACAGTTCATGTATGTTACAGACGTATGAAACAGTTCTTCGACTGTGTCCAGAGCAGTGCCAGCAGAACCCCGCAAACTGTACACCGACCTGCTCTCTGCCTGACTTCAGACGGGCGATGTGACTGGAGGGTTTAATCGTCACACAGCCCCCACGGTCCCAGCAGACAGCACACACCAGACCGAGGCAAGTCAGTCAGCTCTCAGCCAGCTCCAGCCTCTGGCTACCGAACCCCAAGAAGAAAGAGCTCTGTGTTCTGCCCCGTGTGCTAGGTATGGCCACCCTCCACATAGGGTGCCTCTAGGACCTGCCGTCTAGGACCTTCCGTCTGCTTGGAAGTTCAAGTTTTCCTTCTCAAGTGAAGGGGCATAAGCACTTGGCAGACTGCAGGAGGGCTGTGAATGCTCTGGACAGAAACTAGAGTGAAAGAAAATCAAACACAAGCTCAGAATGGCAGGTCTAAGCGCCTTGATGCCCCCAGGAGACCAAGTCGAAAGCAAGTCTCAAGGGCAGCCAGTACAAGTACTGGGAGTCTACTGAGAACCCTGACCCTCTGAGCAGGCCATCTCCATGTCATTGTCCCTGATCCCTCAGCCCGCATAACCTAACCCACAGAGTGAGGACCCTCTTCTGCTCAAGCCAGCACCCCAGAATCCCAAATGCACAGAGGACTAGACCGATTGCTCTCAATGGAAGTAATAAAGTGGGAGCCCCCAGACCTCAAAGCTCTCAACCCCTCCACCACTGGAGTCTTACACGGATGCTGTCTTATGAGTTCCTTCTGGAGACTCAGAATTTTAAAACAACTCAAAGAGACAGGGTGGAATCATGGAAAGAGCACCGTACTGGGTGATAAAATCTCAGGTCCAAGCTGGGACTCTGCCTCTTTCTAGCAACGAACAGGGAACCTGAGTCTCTTCCCACACTGAGCCCGATCCCTCCAACAGTGTGACAGTGCTAATAAGTTCCACATCCTGCAGAGGCCACAGCCGGCAAAGACGGCAGTGGCGGCCAGGGCTTTGGGAAAGGTCCGGCTGGGGCTACGGAGGCACATTCCAAGATGACTGAAGAGGGGGAGGCTCTTGAGAACCGCACTTCCCTCCTGCTCTTCTTCCTCTCTTACTTATTTTCCAGAGTCACAGGAGAGAATCAGTCACTGCATTGGTTCCTCGGAAGTGCCTCCGCCCTGCCCACGAGGACACACGCCTTTCCTGACCCAGCACCCCAAAGCAAGACCCAAGTGTTCTGCTTGGCTCTGCAGGGCTCTATCCGGCCTCAGGGGTCAAATTCAAATCCGAAAGCACTAACCCGCCTTTCCTCACCTGGCAGCACTCCAGCTCACCGCCCTGCCTTGTTTTCTTCAGGGCTTTGTCACGAACGGAAATGGCAGTGGGCATTTATGTATCAGGAGTCTATTTTCGATGTAAGCTCCGAGAGAAGAGGGAGCTTCTTGTCTGTTTCAATCACCGCTGTCTCTCCAGCGCGGCGCTCGCGGTCTGGCACGTGGTCACAGAGGGAGCCTGAGAAATGTGTGATGGATGCAGAAATGAAAGATGGCTCCAGCCTACCTGTCCAGCGTGCTCTCCCTAAATACCTCTTTAGAAAATGAAATCCCCGTCCCATCGCTGAAACGAGAACAGTGCACCCTGCAGGGACTTGACATGCCTGCACGTCTCCCAGTGGGTCAAACGAGGGATGTGCCTGATGGCTCCCCTTTGACCTCCTCCACATCGAATGTTTCTTCAACCCAAAGGGCCACCCAATCTCTTACACCCGTGAAGTCCGACAAGGCCCTGTCACTGAGAGTGACCGTCCTCTCCCCTCCCCCCCGCCCTCGCCCCAGCATGGGGGTCCCTTGGGGCAGGGTCCGTTTCACACCCTTGTAGGGGCGGGCATGGAGGAGTTGCTCGAGAACTATTTGTGAAACACACACGTACGTGACAGCTGGGGCTGAGGCTAACTGTCGCAGGGGTGGTGCGGGGCAGTTTGGAAGAACAGTGAGTACCTAGGTCCATACACTGGAAGTGTTTTATGAATCTGCCCAGCAGTCCCGCTCAGCCCAGTGAGAGGCAAAATAACAGGAAATCAGACGAGGGGTTAAAGTGACAGGTGTGACTCTGACTCCGTGCAGTTCGTCAGGCACACGAGGCAAGTGTTGGGCCAGATGGTCTCTGGGGATTGTGGAGAACAGAGCAGAGGGTGGGTTTTAGAGCTGGACCACCTGGGCTTGAAGATGGCTTCTTTCACTGGCTGGCTGTGCAGCCTTACGCCCGCCACACGCCCTCTCTGAGCACATCTCCTCACTGTAAAATATCGGGGATGGCACCCAGTCGACACTGCTGCTGGTGCGTTAACTGAGGCAGGGGGTGTATCACCCAAGCTCCATGGCCTCTCCCCCCGCTCACTGTCTGTACTGCTGCAGCCCCTGAAGTCCCTGTCCACACTCCCTGTCTGTCGCAGCGTTCTCTGCTCCAAGCAGAAGGAAATTCGCCCCCTAAGGCAACAACTCCTTACGCAACCGACAGTGGTCCCGGCTCCTGTGGGACTCTGCCCTCCTGACACTGAAGGGTGTACAGCCGGCACTTCACTGTGCATCCATCACACTGGGTCGTGTTCCTCGGGGCCCGGAGGAGAACGCCACTTCCCAGCCCCCCTGCCTGGAGGCAGGGTCCCATGACTCAGCCTGGACACGGCATATGAGCAGACATTACGTGAACCACTTCCGACTTAGGAGATTCCCTCCTTCGCTCTTTCCCTGGTCCCTGAAAAACCTGGAGCCCACAACTGGAGGACGGTAGCATCACACTCTGGAAGGAGCCTGGGCCCCTGAATGTATAATGTCCAACTACAATTGGCTGTGACATGAGTGAGCAGTGACACTCCCAAGATTTTAGGGTTTGCTTGTGCCTGCGACAGAGCCCAGAGTCCCATGGCTGGATCCGGTAGCCTGGCACTTCCACGAGGAACAGCTCTTAAAAACAGACGGCCTGGCCTTGACCTGCTCCCCATCTCAGCGTGGGTCCCTGACTCGCGCGACTCCCCCTCTTCAGGGTGTGAGGGTCCACCTGCCCCACCCCCCACCTGCCACCCCCACCCTCTGACAGGAGGTCTAGATTCGAACATCCCAATTCACGGGCACCGTCTCCCCTGGGGCATCTGTCACTTGTGTCCAGCATGGCGCCCCGCAGCTCCCCAGGAGGGCACTTAGATCGGAGCCTCCTGACACCCTAGGTCCGGGCCCCAGCATCCCCACACACACTGCCAGGGCTCAGAAGGCCTCTCCCGCTCTGATTTGCAGGCACACCTGAGAGACTCCCTGCGCCAACACCTGCACCCTGGCCCGGCCTCCAGCCTAAAGGAGACCCATAAACTCTCCTGGCTGAGTAAACACATTTTATTGGTCCCGGGGACACTTCCTGGCCATCCAGCCACGACCTTGCCTTGTCCTGCTCCAGTCTGTCCACTTTCCCCTGCCCCCCCACCAGACCTCCCAACAGACCTCCCGTCCATTCTTTAGCTCCCCGCTGCCCCCGGCCCCTATTCCGAAACAGCTGCATCCCCGGCCTTAAGGAGGGTGGAGAGTCTCTTATCAGCTGTTTTACTGCCGCTCCTCCCTGGCTACACAGCCGCTGGGAACAGAATTCCTGGCGAGGACAGGTCGATGCCTGTCAGCTCCCAGCCGACGGCACACTGAGTGGAGAGACAGGTCTCCGCGGTGCCGTCTCAGGGGGCAGGCAAGGGGAGTGCACGCAGAAGAGAAGCGGAGAAGACGCCAAAGGGCACGAAGAGGCACCGAGGTCCAGGTGCCGTGGAGGGACTTACGAAGTGAGGCCGTGTGGAGAAGGACGGAAGGAAATCAGGACCAGACCAGAGACGCCTGGGAGGCTCAGCCCGGGGCCCAGCCCCATCACAGAGACATGGCCTGGCAGTGACCCGGTGACCGCTCCCTGAGCCTCCACCTGCAGGACAACGGAGGTGCAGGTGCTCCAGAAGGTACATTCTGGGGTCCGGAAGCAGCAGAACTGAGAGAAGTCCAGGAGGGTTTCTGGGAAGACCCCTCAGGTTGTGCTGTGGCCCAGGACGGAGTTGGCCACCTGGGACCCAAGCGTAGCATTGCAGCCTTCCAGAGGCCTGGCCGGAGCCAGCAGGAAAAGCCGCAAGCCAGAGGAAGGGCAAAAAGGCGGACACACTGCCCAGATCTCCTCTGGGAGCGGGCTTTCTCTTCCTCCCGGCTTTGTGCCCTGTTGCCCTCTGGCTGTGGCCTCAGGGACCCGGGCCTAGGCTGCCCACCTGGAGAAGACCCTTTGCAATAAGACTGAAGCCGATTTGGCAATGGCAATGCCCTTGACACTGAGCCAGCGAGGGCTCTGAGCCTGTGGGCACAGTGTACAGCCCCGTTCCAGCTCTTCCCAGGTGACTGGCCTCCTGAATCCCAGGGGTGGTTTTGAGTGGCCCACGGAAGTCCCTGGGGAGATGGAACGTGCCTGGCTAATCTGACATGAGGCTCCCCGTTCTCCACCTCTGCTTGCCCTCTTGATCTCAGGAGTTTTGGGAGAGGAAGTAGCCACTCTCAACCGGCATCACCCTGGGCACATACAAACAAAGCCCCCTCAGCCCCACTGGCGGCTGCCCATGGAGAACGAGGTGGTCCCTGCTCTCTGCCGGGCTACCGAGAGGCAGAACTCGGGATGCAGCGAAGTCCCCAAGAAACTGGGCCTGTCCTTCTCCATCGAGGAGATCTTAAAGAGGCCCACCGAGAGGAGCAACAGGGTCCCACGGGAAGGGGCAAGTGGACCGGACACCGGGAAAGCAGAAGGTGCAGACTCCAGGCCTGAGAAGCCCCAACAGGACCAGCCCCACGGTGAGTGCCTTCTGGTCATTTTTTATCCATTCCTGGGTCTCCAAGACCCAGCTGGGCTCAGGCAGAGAAAAGTCTACTCCATATCAGCAGAAGAGAGGACACTGGGCTGGGCCCTTGCTCCCTCTCTATCTAGCCCAGAATGGCGGTTGTTCAGGCGAGAAACCAAGGCTCAGCCATTTGCCGAATGCAGAGGCGGGGGACTTGGTCCTGTAGCCAGGCTCCCACTGAGAATGCCCCTACCGCTTATTTGTTCGGCATTTACCATATGATAGGCACAGTCCCATACCTGTGCGTGCCTCCTCTTTAACTTCGGTGGAAGGGTGTAATGAACATAGCCTGACAGAGGTGGAAACTCATCTACGAACGGGAGGGGTGGATGGTGTCCCCCAAGTTGCCCAGCTAGTAAGCAGAAGCCCCTGGATCGGGACCTTGCTCAGACCGCCCCTGAACCCTGCTCCATCCAGCATGCTCATCCCCTCCGCAAGCTGAGTCCAGCCTGCCCAGCTTCTAGTGGCTGGAGCTTTGCCTGGATCTGCCCACCCTGGTCACCCCCACACCCCCCAGACCAGTGGCTCATCCCAAGTGCCAAAGACCAGATCTGAGACCCCTCCCTGACAGCTGGCCTGAGGGAGGACCTGGGGGGGGACACGAACACCCTGCTAAGAGCCAGGAATTCCTGACATCTGTCTCAGTTCCCCCGGGGCCTGTGTGACCTCAGGGAAGTCCCTTCTCTGCTCAGGCCTCAGCTCTACCCTCGGTGAGCCAGTTGAGTGAGGGAAGGGGACACCAAGGTCACGTCCCAAGCGTCCGCTGGAATCTGACAGTCGATGAGCCTGGAGTTCTCACAGGAGGTTCCAGCTCTCTCCCCATGTCCAGCCCTTTAATCCAAGGAAAGGCTGGAAAAAGAGCTCAGGGGGAGCTGCGGCACCGTGAGGCCGTCTCTTACCACACACACAGCCCCACTCCATCCCCCCAAACAAGACTCCCGAGAGGGGGTTGTTTGTACCGGGCTGCAGGGGAAGACCCTGGAAGGCCACTCCTCCCTGGTGGGGGTGGCGGAGCAGGTTCCCCTGTAGCTGAGCTTATGAATGGGAAAGGATTCCCAGCTTCGTTTTCCTAAGTTCACTAGTATCTTCCAGTGAATCGAATGAGCACACACAGAAACAATTCTCCTGGGAGTCCAACCTCAGTCTCTTTTGCTACAACTGCATAAAATTCGTGACTGTCTTCCCTGAGACTGAGAGAGAGAGAGAGACAGACAGACAGACAGAGGGGGGGAGGAGAGAGGAAAGGTCCGTCCCCCCTGCTGGAGGGGCTTCTCCTCTCCTGGCCTGACCACTGCCGAGGGTGAACAGGCAGGCGGCCACTTTTTCTGAACCTCCTCTGAAGATCTACAGATGCCGGCATGTTCCATGTCAGCTGCCCTGCTACACCCAGAGCAGACCCCCAGTAAGTGGTCACCAAAATAGCAGTGGTGACATTAGACAGTGCCCCGGGCTCACGGCACTCTCACGGCCATGCTGCCTTCAAGCTGTCACCTCTGTGAGCCCCCACCTTTGAGGGTAAACCAAGAGGAGAAGACAGATCACCCACAAAAACTGCATGAGTAGTTAACCCTGGATTTGGACCCCGGGGGCCTGGGACCACCTGCTCTCGAATGTCCCCGGACACGGTTTAAACCCATCCATTTCCCTCCCACGCTGCGGGAGTCGGGTATTTCAGAACCCCCAGCGCAGGTGCGGCTGGTGTTTCTCAAGAAGACTCTGAGGGGTGCGCAGACAAAGATGGTTTACGTCACTAGTTCTCATTATTTCTACACTAAGCTTCTGTTCAGGACCCACGATACTGGTTGCTTATGGTGGGTCACCACGAGGTTTCATTTTAAAATAAGTTTACTTATTTGCATAAGCAAAAGAGTCTGCCTGGGAGGGTGCTGAACAAACAAGAATTCGGCTGGGAGGCCAGCCTGTCGGAAGCACCGAGGTGCCTGGCAGAAACCATAAATGAGCCGGAGTCTGTGAGACACTGGGAGGGCAGGCAGCTGGGATTCCGGAGGTCTGGTCTCGAAGCCCCACACCGGCACCACGTCCCAGGAGGGCCCCAGGCGAGCCTCCCCTCTTTGGGCCTCCATCTCCCCATCTGGAACATTCCTGAGGTCCCCGCCCCCAGCTGTGACACACCACGACCAATTCCACCACGAACTGGTTGCTGAACAACCTTCGCGGTTTCACTCCTGGTGATTTTCCACCGCAGAGACTCCCCCCCGCAGAGTTGGGGGGTCTCCTCGTCAGGCAGGCAGGGACAGGGTGACCGGGAAGGGTGGGCATCTCCCTGCCCTCCCGGGACCCCCCACCCCGCCTGTTTCCATCATGGCACGCAGGACCAGAAATGGTGTGCCCTGTGCCCTCCGTCACCCCAAGAATAACAAGAGGAGTACATTCCTCTTGGGCTTCACCTACCACTCACAGGGCTTCGTCGCGCGGCTCCGGGAGGTTGGCCAGCAAACGTTGCCTCCAGATCCCAATCGCCAGGGAGTTTGTAAAAATGCAGCTTTCCGGGCCTGGTGCCCAAGACTCTGACTCTGGGTCTACGGTGGGGCCCAGGAATCCGAAGTCTAACCAGCTCTCCCAAAAGGGGGGAAAGTGGCCCAAGGACCGCTCTTTGAGGAGGGGCCTCGGGGCCCAGGGAGGCAGCATGGCTTGTTCTGAGCTGTAGAACCTGTGCCTCCAGAAGCTGGGCCGGGCCGGTTGTCCAGGAGGTCCACCCCCGCCCCGGCCAGGTCCTTCCACTCTCCGGGGACCCTCATAATCTAAGGCTTGGACTCTCCCAGGTCTCAAGCTAATGGAAAACTTCAAGAGAGCCTCCCAGCTGAAGGGGATGCTAAACCCAGCTGACTGCTTCCTCTTTCTGAGAGAGGCAAGTGCCCCGAAGCTGGGACCCTCCCAAGTCAAGGGAGGCTCAGTCAGGAGGAAGCCACCTTATACCAGTCTCAGACCTCGGGGAGAGAGAGGACATGTCTGCAGCTGTCCCACTGAGGACCCTGTGCCCGGGAATTTTGACCCCTGGGGGAAAGGGCAGAGGAAGAGACCACTGCAGTGGGTAGACCAGTGTGGTTTTCTGGCCTGTGGGGGACCCAGACAGGTTCCCTTGTCTGCACAGGAGCCCTTCAGCCACTCAGCGAATGGCTGCTGAGTGCTCACTCTGGACCAGGCTGGGAGCTGGGACGGCAAAGGTGAATGAGCAGAACAAGACACAGTGACCACCACCTGGAGCTGGGGGAGTTCAGTGGCAATGAGATCCTGGGGCCACCACCTTGGGGCCACGCTGACTTCTGCCCACCTTGGTGGAGGAGACCAGGACGGTGGAATTCCGGGGATCTGAGGAATGTCCTAGAGCAGTAGTCAGGAAAGCTTGTCTACAAAGGGCCACATAGGAAATTTAAGCTTTAATGGCTGATGGTCTCTGTTGCAAATACTCAACTCTGCTGTCACAGCTGAACAGGAGACATGTGTAAGTGAATGGGTATGTTTATGTTCCAATAAAACTTTATTTATCATAACAAGCAGAGGGCTGGACCTGGCATCAGGGTGTAGTGTATCAACCCCCAACCCGTTGGTGTGGCATTCAGAGTCCTTCACAGACTGGCCCTGCTGGTCCCCAGGTCCAGCCCCCATCAGACCCTCCCTGCCCCTCACTCTCCACCCCCAGGCACATAGAGCTTCTCTCTGACTCCCGCTCCTCCCTGCTCCCTAAATGCCTCCAAACCTTTGGCCTTTAGAAACCTCTGCCCATACACACACACACACACACACACACACACACACACACACACATCTTCTCTCTCCTTTTCCTCTTCATTCTCTCTTCCTCCTCCTGGCTTTAAACAACAGAAATTTATTCTCTTACAGTTCTAGAGTCCAGAAGTCCAAAACCAAGGTACTAAAGGGTGGTTCCTTCTGGAGGCCCTGAGGGAAAATCTGTTCAGTGCCTCTCCCAGCTTCTGGTGACTGCCGGCAGGCCTTGGCCAGGTGTGGCCCATGGGTACATCACTCCGCTCTCTGCCTCCGTCTCACTTGGCCTCTGGGTCTCGGTCAAAACTCCCTCCTCATTCTCACCTGACGGCACCAGTCATTGGACTCAAGGCTTACCCTAAATCAGAAGGGTCTCATCTCACAATCTTTAATTAAATCTACAAAGATAAAGTGTGCAAACAAGGTCATCTACACAGGTACCAGAAGTCAGGACTTGGACGTATGTTTTGGAGGGAAACACCATTCAAGCCATTATGCTTTCCCTCACTTTTTCATTCCCCTCATTTTCCTCTTTCTCCCTTCTCTTCCCTGTTCCCCTCCTCTTTCCCTTCTTCTCTTCTCTTCCTCCTCCTCTCCCTCCTTCCCCTCACGCTCCTCCTGCTCCCCTGCACCACCTCGAACCAAAGGCGGGGGCTCTGCCATTCTCCTGCTGCTGGGACTAAGGCTGTGTCTGAGACCTGTGCTGTGTGTTGTGGCTCCTCGTGAATGGCTCTGGCCCTTAGATGGAGAGAGCTAGGGCTCCCATGGAGCCGACTGGAGCAGGGCTAAAGGATGCAGAGCTTAAAGCTTGCACTTCCCCCAGGAGAAGTGTGGTCTGGTTTCTCTCTTTCAAACACCCTTTCCTAGTCCCTGCCACCAAAGTTACAACCCAACATGGCCATGGGGACATTCCTACAGGGCTGGGGGCACCTGAAAACTGGTTCTGAAATGGAGAACCTGACTCCTTCTTAGGCCCTATGGGAGTACAAGGCACTATAAGACTTGACCCCTGCTTGCAAAATAAACAAAAACAAAAACAAAACAAAACCCACATTGTGTTAATTTTGGATCTTCAAACAAACAGACCCAAAAAAAGGATTTAATCACAAGTAGCTTGTGATGTGCAAGGACCACCAGCAATAAAGTAGTGCAACAAGACAAAGAAAGGAAGACAGTGAGCTGAGGGTGTGTGATGAAGCCAGTAACCAC